GTACAGTTTGAGAGGTTACTTTCCATTCACAGTCACTGCAAAATACTGGCTGTGTTTCCTGCGTTGTACAATAGATCCTTCAGTGTGCTTAAGCTGGAGCTCACAGCCAGTGCGCGATGACTGGCAATGCTTTTGATTTTCTTGGCAAGAAAATGAGCTAATGAACTGGGCAGTGACCAATTTGTAAAATATCTCAGAAATTTGTGTCTGTATATTTACATATGTTGTAAAATTTCATCATTAGAGGCTAAATTCTCCATGACTGTTAAGGTGTATTGAAGATTTCTATGTAGGCTTTTGTTGTTTCTTTAAGAAAAATTTAAAAGTTAACTTCCAAGTGTAAATTTTAAAAAATGATTTCCCTCCTTCCTGTTTTAGAGCTACTTGTCTATATTTTACTTAAGCATTATAGCATGTGACACATAAAGATGTTTCCCCAGAAGAATCTTGTTTCTGCCCATGGCTGACATGAAAGGAAACAATTTGTCAGACTAGTGGCGCTTGCTAACAATTCAAATAAACCACCTGTCTTTCCCTTCATGCTGTGTATTAATAGAAATGTTAATGATAAACTGCCTCCTTTACACCCTATATGAGGAGAGGTTACTGGGTCAGAGACAGTGCTCTTGCTTTGGGCCCCCGTAGACACAGCCGTTAGCAGGTCTGTCTGAGCACTTGCATGCTCCTTGGCACCATGCTTCTGTTGTAATAGTTATCTGTTTAATACAGCCAAATTGATTGTGCCTAATTTTTGTCACTGTCTAGCTTGTAAAAAGCAATTAGGTTTAGAATATGCTTCACTGTAAATGTGTATTTTGATAGGCAGTGACTAACTCTTCAAAAATGGGCTTCCTTGGCTTACACAGCTGAAGATCATGATCGTATCTGTGTGACACATTTTTCTCCACTCCGTACCGCCACCACTAGCTTGAGAGCTCTTGAGATAGAGCATGCATATCATGCCTTGTGCTTTTGTGCCGTGAGTACCTAGCAGCACTGTTAGTGACTGTTGAGTTATTTAATGACTTGCCTTTAATAATGACCAGCTTTGTTGCTTTATGATATTTTTATGTGATCTTCTTGAATTTTTTTCAACATACAATCCATTCTAAAATCTTGCTGTATCAATACTATTGTTAGAAACAAGACAACAGACCCCAAGTAGAGTTATTTATGCTAAGCTCCGTATCACCAAACCGTGGCTTCACTTAATTACAGTTGAGGCTCTTCCAGAAATGAACTCTAAACCAATCAGGAGTCACCTGATTAGCAACTGTTAGGTGATCTGCCAGATAGACCCACCCAGTGAAGTTGCTCAGTCATGTCCGACTCTTTGCGACCCCATGGACTGCAGCCTACCAGGCTCCTCCGTCCATGGGATTCCCCAGGCAAGAGTACTGGAGTGGGTTGCCATTGCCTTCTCCAACCATCCTCTAAAGGAAAGTAAGTTTGCAGTAACCAGCCAGCTTTTCCCCCTTTACCTTGTACACTGTCCTCACTCCTTCTCCCCTCTGCCTGAGGAAGTCTTTCATTTTGTCCACCTCCTTGAGGCTCTTTTCTCTGCTAGATTGGATGCTGTGTGATGCACATTTATTTCTGCTCGAATAAACCCTTAAACATTTTAATGTGCCTCAGTTTATCTTCAGAAAGTTTATATAGTTGTTTAGAGCTAGTCATACACTAATGTGGGAAAAGATTTGTTAATTGTGGTATGGGTAGTAAGTAATGACTAGTGAGGGAAATCTGAGCTTTCCAGTTGATTTTCAAGGTATTGAAAATAGTGAAATTAGTATATAAGTAAATATTTGGGGATTTTAAATTATCTGGCTTGCTCTCATGATAGTATAATTTATTGGTTGCTAATAGAAATAATGTCAGCTATTGACTACTGTTATGGTAACTTGAAAATAAGACTAGTATTATTCTCAGGCTTTTCCTAAGAAAAGAATGAATTTATAGAAATATTTCAAATAATTATGGGCTTATTTAGCTATATCAATATGTGTCTTTATATTACTTAAAAATTGAGTTGTTGGTGAATTATAAAATTTTAAATCATAACTGTTGTGAGTACCAAAAGCATCTGTGAAATGAGTGGGCAGAAGAATGTCTTTGGTACCTTGATCAGGGTCTAATGTTAGTTGTCATTTGATAAAGAGCAGTGGTTCAGTGAATGGATTTCCACACATAAACAGGATTGAACAAAAAACTGTCCAGATATCAAATGGAAGCAATTTAAATCTCCATTGACAGAGGAATGGATGAAGATGTGGTACGTGTGTTATGATGGAATATTACTCAGCCGTGAGAAAGAATGAAGCTGTGCCAATGCAAGCAACGTGGATGCACCCAGAGATCGCCACACTGAGTGAAATAAGTCAGACAGAAAGATGAAGATCATATGATAGCGCTTGTATATGAAACCTAAAATGGCACAAATGGAACTTATTTACAAAACAGAATTAGAGTCACAGATGTAGAAAACAGACTTATGTTACCAGGAGGGTGGGGGAAGGTAACTGGGAGATTGGGACTGACATGTACATACGCTATATGTGAAGTAGGTAACTGAGAGGGTTGCCTGGGGGACAGTGGTCAGGATGCTCCACGTCCACTGCAGGGGACATGGGCTTGATCTCTGATCAGGAAACTAAGAATCCCACATGCCACACTGTGTGGCCAAAAAAACAAAAAAGAATTGGAAAAAAAAATAGATAACAAATAAGTACCTAATGCATAGCACAGGGAACTCTCCTCAATACTCTGTAATGGCTTATATGGAAAAAGAATCTAAAACAGGGAAAGACTAGAGATCTCTTCAAGAAAATTGGAGATATCAAAGTAATAGTTCATGCAAGGATGGGCATGGTAAAGAAGAGAAATGTTAAGGACCTAACAGAAGCAGAAGAGATTAAGAAAAAGTGGTAAGAATACACAGAAGAACTATACAAAAAAGTCTTAATGATAACCATGATAACTGGATAACCATGATGGCATGGTCACTCACCTCGAGCCAGACACCCTGGAGTATGAAGTCAAGTGGGCCTTAGGAAGCATTACTACGAACAAAGCTAGTGGAGGTGATGGAATTCCAGCTGAGCTATTTCAAATCCTAAAAGATGATGGTGTTAAAGTGTTACCCTCAGTATGTCAGCAAATTTGGAAAACTCAGCAGTGGCCACAGGACTGGAAAAGGTCAGTTTTCATTCCAATGCCGAAGAATACCCAGACTACCACACAAGTGCGCTCATTTCACATGCTAGCAAGGTTATGCTCAAGATCCTTTAAGCTAGGCTTCAGCAGTATGTGAACCAAGAACTTCCAGATGTACAAGCTGATTTCGAAGAGGCAGAGGAACCAGAAATCAAATCACCACAGTTCATTGGATCATGGAGAAAGCAAGGAAGTTCCAGAAAAACATCTACATATGCTTCACTGACTATACTAAAGTCTTTGACTGTGTGGATCACAACAAACTGTGGAAAATTCTTAAAGAGATAGAAATACCAAACCACCTTCCCTGCCTCCTGAGAAACCTGTTTGCAGGTCAAGAAGCAACAGTTAGAACCAGAACAATAGAACGGAACAACAGACTGGTTCAAAATTGGGAAAGGAGTTCATCAAGGCTGTATATTATCAACCCTGCTTATTTAACTTATATGCAGAGTATATCATGCAAAATGCTAGGCTGGATGAAGCTTAAGCTGGATTTAAGACTGTCGGGCGGAATATCAACAATGTCAGATGTGCAGATGATAGCACTCTAAGGGCAGAAAGTGTAGAGGAACTAAAGAGCCTCTTGATGAGAGTGAGAAAGCTGGCTTAAAACTCAACATTCAGAAAACTAAGATTGTTGCATCTGGTCTCATCACTTCATGGCAAACAGATGGGGGAAAAATGAAAGCAGTGGCAGATTTTATTTTGGGGGCTCCAAAATCATTGTGGATGGTGACTGCAGCCATGAAATTAAAAGACACTTTCTCCTTGGGAAGAGAACTATGACAAACCTAGACAGTATGTTAAAAAACAGAGACATCACTTTGCCAACAAAGTTCCATGTAGTCAAAACTATGGTTTTTCATGGTTGTGAGAGCTGGACCATAAAGAAGGCAGAGTGCCGAAGAATTGATGCTTTCGAATTGTGGTGCTGGAGAAGACTCCTGAGAGTCCCCTGGACTGTAGGATCAAACTGGTCCATCCTGAGGAGATCAGGCCTAGATGTTCATCGGAAGGACTGATGCACATCAACATGCACAGTCCTGTTTGTACTTTGGGGCCGTATGTAATGCTTCAAACTTTCTCTTACAGCTTGCTGCCAAAGTAGATGTGTGTCTCTTTTTTAAATCAAATACTCAATTTCTCCCTTTATCCTCTATGCTGATTTTTGTATGTATTCATTCCTTGGTTGAGTTTATTTTTCATGGACTTGTTCACCGGTCCCACCAAATATGATGCTGAAGCATCCCACTTTCACTCATTGTATATTATCAAATTACTTATTGCTTATTATTACTTATTATTATTACTTATAATTATTAGAGACCATGCATGATTTATTTGATTTTGTCTTTGTTACTTAATGCTTGTTTCTCCATTAAAAATAAACTTTCTGAGTGCAGAAACAAAGAAAAAAACATACAGTGTGTTAAACCTAAAATAAAGTGTGAAACCTAAAAATAAAATATACTAAACATTACTTTTTAAATAATACAACTTTTTAAAATAAGCAGTTGTCAGTTTAGTTTAAAATCATGCCTTTTTTATGTATTTAGAAAGAAGCACAGGGAATCTGTTGAACCCTGTTTCCAGGCTTGAGAAGTTGTGCTGCTCCTATTTCAGTGATCCCATGAAGAGTTAGAGTGGATAATAAGGATTAAAACCAACTGGTAAATTTTGTAACTAGTGGAACCAACTTAGTTCATAAATTTTCCTTTTAGACTTTTAGCATAATTTGCCTTTTGTAGAAACATTGATTAATTTCACATTTTTTAAATTTCCAGGTAACTTGGGTTTTTACTCCTGTAACAGCTGAAATAACAAGTCTCGATACAGAGAATATAGATGACATTTTAAGTAAGTACCTTCATATTTTTAAAGTATACTTTCTTTTCTATTAAGAATTAGTTTATATACAAAACAAAATAAAATCTCAGTTACCTAAAACAGTTGAGGAGCCAGCATTCTGATTAATTCCATGGTGTCTCTGTATGTGTGTGCATGCATATGTATTTAACTAAGCACTTTTCATTTTAGTTTTTAGTAAAATGTCTTAAAATGTGTAAGTCTGCTTTCCTGTTACAGGTGAACTTTAGTCTTGTTTTGTTTCTCTGCCTTGTCATAAATACCACTCTTATTAGAGTATTTTCTTGTTTAAAGACCAGTTTCCACTGTGCCGTATTATGTTAATGACCGTAGGACACAGTCTACAATTTTTTTGTATGTGTGTCTTTTTTAGCTTTTAACTATATCATGTACTCTGATCTCTTTTTTTTTTGTCATTGATCCAATTAAGCTTAGTAAGTGTTTTTGCTTGTTTGTTGACAGTGTGATTGTAGATTCAATTAATTTGGGGGAAGACATTTCTTCTTGTTTTTAAAAGAAGTAGAAGGAAGGTGAAGATGTGGTTAATAGGAAAATCACAACTTAGGAGATTTAAGAAAATGTATTGTGGATAAATGATGTCTTTTTTTTTTTTTAAACATTTCGTTTCACCCACTGGTTAGAGCAGAACTAAAAGTAATGAGAGATAAAAGTGTTGTTCATTGACCATCATATGGTGTCTTGTGTCCTTGGACCTGGCTTAAATGCTGGAAAGTGTGTTCCCACACTGTGGGAGTTCTTGGGAGAAACTTGAGCCTGTATCAGTGTCACAGGGAGGACTTACAGTATCAGTATTGATAGGCCTGCCCCCAGTTTCTGATAGAAATCGCTGGACCCAACTGAAGAGTTTGCATTTCTACAAGCTCCAGTGTGGTGCTGGTGCTTCTGCTCCCAGGAATCAGAGCTCGAGAACCGCACTGCGTTAGTGAATAGTACATGGATGAAAAGTGCTTTCAAGATATTAAATAAAAAAGGAAAAAGAGAATTGAAACGCACAAATCATCTTCACTCCTCTCATCTTTCACATTCTAGAATATCTTTGTGGGTGTGTGTGTGTGTGTGCACGCGCATGTGCGGTTTACTGAGTACTGAGTTTTTATTAGATTTAGGCAAGAGGAACAGGCATCTTTCTCCTGTCTTCACATCTGGATATGCAAATAATACTGAGTTAAATTTTGCAACAGAGAATGAATGTTAAAATGGTAGAAACCAGAAAAGGTGCATCTTACGCAACACTGTTATTTGTAGATTATTGTTGCTACCAGGTGGTGTCTGAGTTTTAGAAATAGCTTAGTTATACAAGTCTGTCCTCTGAAATAGGGTTTTACTGGTTAGCCAAAAAGTCTGTTTGGGTTTTTCGGTAACATCTTAAGGAAAAACCAAGTGAACTTTTTGGCCAATGCAACATTTGCAGAGCTAATTCTCAGTTATTCATGAATATGGAAGGTCAAAAAATGGATTAATAAAATCCAGATCACTCCACTTCATTTTTTATGAGAGTAGGCTATCTGGTAGCTTATTTGCCTGATCTGAGCTTGATTCTCTATTTCTTTTATATTCATTCAGTGGAGGTATTAAGATGGAGGATATAGAGAAAAGGAATGGGGCTCCCACAAATTATGTAAGCCATTTTTGACGCTATGTACAGGTTTCTGAGTGAGAGATAACTTAATAGTTACTGTGTATTTTTAGTGAGCCTTTAAAATAGAAAAGGCTATGATGAAAACCATTATCTTGAATTATGTCATAATTATGTAGCCACAAGTAACTTAGATTGTTTGGTCTTGTTTTTCAATTTCAGACAATGCTGATGTTGCTTTAGTAAATTTTTATGCTGATTGGTAAGTAATACCTTATTTTGGTGGGGAGGGGTGCATCACTAAGGGTTTTGGGGTTATTTTGTTTTTTTGCTTTTAACTTTCTAGAGGTGATTTTTCTTTGCTAGGAAGGAGTAAGTAGGGAAGCCTCCTCCTTCTGTGAGACAATACTCCATAAACAGATTTAATAATTCAGGTCCATTCATTCATAGATGAAGCAACTTAATTTGGTGAGCATTTGTTTGAAGAGAGAAAATATACCTGATTCCATCATTCCACATTTTAAAATAAAAGCAGGATACGGAATAACTCAGATTTCTCCCTTACTCAGCCTGTCTGTCTCTGTCTCTCACTAACGCATCCGCACACACACGTACATATTGCGGTTCTCTGTTTTTCCTACTGAGGAAGCAGGGCAGTGTTTGGAGGTGAGGATATGGGTGTGGCAGATTCAGAAGGAAAAATAATGCTGATACTTTGTGACACGTACCATCTCCTACCACTTCTCGGGAGCCTTCGCCCCTTTGCCTGTCTGGATCAGATCTGTCTGTGTGTTCACGTGGCTCCCTGGGTCCCACACAGGGAACCTTTCTTTTCTTACTGCGTTGCTTTCTCTTCAATCTCTGTGTTCCAGCAAACCAGTTTTGAGGGCAGAGATAAAGTTTTTCTTAGTGCTCCCAGCACTGAGCACAGGGCACAGCATATTGTAGATGTTAAAGAATGTGGCAGGGGGAAGGAAGAGGGGCACTTTAGCTGGAGAGAAGTGTGAAACAATCCACATCATCCTTATTCCTAGGCAGTCTGCATCTATGTGACCCTCAGGCTTACCACCTAGCAGGTGCCTCCACCCCTGCTTCAGGCCACACGTCATCCTGCAGCTCACCTGCATGTGGATGAACAGCCTTAGCTTATTTCCTCGGCTTCTGGTCTGACCTGTCTCCATTCTTTTCCCTGCAAAGTAAGCCAGAGTAGTCTTCCCTGAAGTGCAAGCTAGAGGAGCTTACCCTCATCTTCAAAGCCTTCACTGTTTCCCATCACTTTTAAGTACGCCCCTCACCTCAGCCCGGAAGGCCCCCGGTGACCCGGTTCCTTCCTGCCTCTGCCACTGTACCTCTTGCTCTCCATTCCCACATCTGCTCTGTTACGCTTCTGTAATCTTCTGTGCTCTTTCATCACGGACCTTTAATCATGGTGCTGCTCTGTCTGAATGGGCCTCTCCTCTCACCCACTTGTTCACTTCATTGAGTCTGAACCACTCCTTCAGGCCTTAGATTAGATGCCACTTTCTCCAGGCCCCCTTCCTACATCCTACCCCTACCCCTGCTCTCAATGCAGTTAGGAACCCTTTCTATATCTGCTCGTGACCCTGCGTACTTAGCCAGTCATTCGCTGTATGCCATGGCTTAGTTGGCGCCTCCCTCCTATATCATTAGCTTTGTGAAAAGTTACCATATCTATCTTTTTTTCATCATGAATCACCAAGCACTTTGCATGACAGTTGGCAGATAAGTGCATAATAAATATTTACTGGATCAACAATGTATGGTATCCATATTTAAAGAACTTCAGTAGAAAATCCATGGCTGATTCATGTCAATGTATGGCAAAAACCACTACAATATTGTAAAGTAATTAGCCTCCAACTAATAAAAATAAATGGGAAAAAAAAAGCCAAAAAAATAAATAAGAACTTCAGTAGAATGTTGGAAATATACAGAGAAAATACCATTTATAAAATGTACAACAGAAGATAGCAGTTTCCAAAGTAGGATTGTCCAGATATAACGTTAGCCACAGAATGTGGTAGAAAATTATTGAATTCAGTCCACTTTAAAAGTAAACAGGTTCAGAGGAATATTTTTCCATACTTACCTGACTAGATTGTGGCAGAGTTAAAACTGTTGGGTTGGCCAAAAAGTTCATTTGGGTTTTTCCATAAGATGTTGCAGAAAACCCGAATTAACTTTTTGGCCAACCCAGTAGAATGCAATTTCCTTGATGGAGGGGTGTTGTGTGTTGTAAGAAAGAGAAACAGAACATGCCACCAAGCTTGTTGTGAAAAAGCAGATTGGAAATATGGACTAACTGCAGTTATTTGAGAAACATGTTACCAAAGAATACTTGGGGTTGTACATAAATTAATGCTGTTTTATTCAATGGAAAAAAACGTGGATAACTTGATGTAGGACTTAGACTTACACTGTGTGGCCTCAAAGTCAGGATTCTGAACTCCCTCTGGGAGCTATGGATGTGGCACGGTTTAAGGAAGAATTCTCTAATAGAGTTGCCTAAAAATACACCTGAAGGGACAGTAAACCACAGTAGAACTTAATAACGCTGTTATGCACCGGGTTGTCTACATACATTGTTTTTAATGCTCAGAATTACCCTCCAGGTAGGTGTTACAATTTCCATTTCAGGTTGAGGAAATTGAGGCTCAGAAAGGTCATACAGCTAGTAAGTGGTGGAACTGGGATCCAACCTCAACTATGTCTGCCTCTGAAGCTTATTTTTTTTCCCACTAGGTTATGCTAGTAAGTGTCCTTAAATTGTCCCCTCATAGACTTTTGCCCCATTTGGTTGATTTGTAAAGGGTTGATTTCAAGTACTAGGTATGGAGATTGGATTCAGATGACTCTTAAGGCCCTGTTAATAGATCTATTTGCTTTGGTTGTGCCACTTCTGTAAATGTAACTTTATATTGCAATTGAAGTTTTATTTTATCTTCCCCTTTCACCTTTTGGTATTATAACTGATCCTGTCTTAAACATGAATCTGTGCCTAAGTGCTTATTGAGCAGCAAACTGGACAATACAGAAAGGAGCCCTTAATATCTCTCTTTTCTTGCCCTTAATTCAGGATTCTTTACGAAGCCATATCCTAATTTCTTCAAGAAATCATCATGCAATCCTTACCCCTTGCCTCCCTGGCCCTCTTGAACCCTGTCTTTAGCAAACTGTGGGAACCCAGAAACCTGTGACCCTAGCCTGTCCAGTTCCTCCATTCTACCAATTTATTCATTTAACAGAAATCTACTGAAATGCTTATTAGAATACGTAGTCTCAGAATAAGACACGGTCCCTGATGCCTGCAGACCCCACCCACCTATCCCAGATGGGAGAGATTTAAGAATGCTAAGAGGAAAGAGCCACTTGAAAGCGAGAGATTGAAGATACAGATTGTGTCTCCTTGGTATTTTCTAGGACATCTCCTTAGGAAGTCAGGTGAGTGGGCCAGAGTTACATACAAAGAGAAATAGGGAGGAAGTATAAAGTTTGTATCCTGTCATAGATGTTATGTTTTTCTTAAATTATAATTAATATGTATGACCTAATTGCACTGCCCTGGCTCAGACAGTACAGAATCTGCTTGCAATGCGGGAGATGTGGGTTCTATCCCTGGGTTGGGAAGATCCCCTGGAGAAGGGAATGGTTACTCACTCCAGTATTCTTGCCTGGAGAATTCCATGGACAGAGGAGCCTGGTGGGCTGTAGTCCATGGGGTCGCAAAGAGGCAGACATGACTGAGTGACTAAAATTTTCTTTCTTTGACCTAATTATGTGGGTTAGCGTTCACAGGCTTCATTTAGGTACATTTCTTGATGGAAAACGGCTCTGGAAGCAATAGTAGGAATTAAAGTTGTGTTCTTCTTGTTGTTGTTGCTGTTAATAAATACTCAAGACCTTCTTCATATGAAAATAACCATTCTAGCCCAGCTGCTTGTGTGCTGATTCTGATTCTTCTCTTTCTCATCAGGTGCCTTTAATGACTCAAAGAATACATTTGTGAAGTAGTTGGCTTGACAAGGGGCAACCCTAATTAGAAGTCTCATGTTTCTAGAATATTGTGGGGTTTGTGGCCCCTTTTAAAAGTGAAGGCAGAGCAAAAAACTACAGACAGAGGGAACATGGACAGGAAGTCTCCTTTGAGAATTAAAAAATTTTGTTCCCGAACTTAGTATATTTGATAGCTTATACATACAAAAGCCTATTTGAACGAGAGGTAAATTTTGAGAGGAAACAGTTCAGTCTACACCATATGCTATTTTCATATTAACTTGCCTATGAGATTTGATTGAACTTGTCAGGTGAATCAGTCTAATATTTGCAATGAACTTAGCATTTTAAAGACTTTGTAGTCTAAAAATATGTTCATTATTTAGAGAAGCTGATTTCCTTTATAAATGCCTGAGACTTAGTGATCACAGATCCCAGTAGGTACATTTTAGAGGACTTGCCTCGCGCTTGTCTCACTGCCTCTGTGAGAGACCCGTCTTTAGATCATTTGTGTGGTCCGCAATGGAGTGGTCTTTGAGTGCCAGCTTGCTTCCATCTCCAGTGAACGACGTCAGGAACCCTGAATTAACAGTGTGGCTGCTAATTCTGCTTATTGTGCATAATATAGTAAACACTGAATATAAAAGACAACAGCAAAAATGAAATTTTATTGCTCCTACTCTTCAGTTTTACTCGGTATCCTTTTCTGTGCGTAGGTGTCGTTTCAGCCAGATGTTGCACCCGATCTTTGAGGAAGCCTCAAATGTCATCAAGGAAGAGTACCCAGATGCAAACCAGGTGGTCTTTGCCAGAGTTGACTGTGATCAGCACTGTGAGTACCTCACGGGGGTCTGGGAGAGACTGTCCTGTCCCTGCCTCTCCTACACACGCACACACGCACTCCCTTTTTTTTTAATGCTCAGTTTTAAGCCTTGTTCTCTAGAACAAGCCAAAAATGCTCTTGACTTTGGTTAAAATGTTAATATTTAATCTTTATGTATTGATACTAACAACACTACTTTCCATTTTGCCTGTGTGAAGGATTAAAAAAATTTTTTTTTCATTAAACTATAGTAGGACCAGCATGCAGGTAGTAAATCATTGTGGTTTTCTACCAAAGCAAGTACCAAAATCAATAAATAAAATTGATATATAGGTTTACGAAAGAAAATGATTTCTGTTAGTTTTAGAATCATGCAGAAATACCATGTGTAGTCATTTCAAATAAAACAGTCTCAGATTTTTGTGTGGTTTCTCTTATATAAAAGATTCTACTAAGATGTCTTAAACTATCTTTGAGGTGTAATTTGCTCTAGTTAGTCATTAATTTTGAGAAACTTAGGTTAGTCCTACTTAGAACCCAACCTCTGGGATTTCGTTTGTCTCACTGGTGCTTTCTTTGTGAAACCCTTATAGTTCTCTGTGCACATGACGGACTTCTCCAGTGTGAGCCGGTGAGCTTGCTCTGAGATCTCTTCCTGAGGGCTCCGTTGTCCTTGAGCTTAAGTCTCTCCTCCTGCCAGTCATTGCGCTCTGCGGTTCTGCCTCATTGTGTCTTGGTTGTCTCACCAACTGTAATGTCACTTCTTCAAAGGCAGGAACTGTTAGCTTTGTTTTTAAATCTCCCTTCTGTTACTAAGTGGAGACCAAACTAATTCTTTGAATCTCAAGCATCTGAGTGTTTCTGGGTGACAAAGATAGCTCATTAAAACAAGCTTGTTGTATTGAGTTATTGTTAAGTTGGCCTGAATTACAGAACATTCCCATTCTGCAAGTTTCCTGTCCTTTACATTTCACCTGACAAGACTGTGTGTGTGTCCGTGCACATGTTTGTATACACTAACTTTTCACTTTGCTGATGAGGAAATGGAAATAAAAAAGTGGCTTAACCAATGTCATATAGCTTACTGTCTAGTCAGGGCAGAATTTGAATCCAGATCTCCTGACCAAATGCCTTCCCAGACCCATTTACTACTTTTCCATTCAGTTCAACAAACGGTCTGGGGATTTTCTGGTAAAGCCCTGTGTTAGGCAGAACAGCTGACAGCGAAGTATCAAAATCTCCTAAGCCGCGTCCCACATGTCTGTCTGCTGAGGGCCATAACTATACAGGAGGAAGGGAGCAATAACAGGTTGTGAGGGCAGGCGTGGCCTGCATTCCCACACTGCTCTTTGGATCTTCCCTTCCGCCCTTCCCTGACAGAGAATGTGAGGTTTTGGTGTGGGCTCTCATTTCAAATTTTCTATTCTTTATGTATTTAATTAGAACAGACAGCAGTTCCTACTTTGAATTTGGACTCTAAGATCTGAGATTCTGCTCTCAAGCTTACAGTCATTAGAAAGAAAAATTAACTTGCTGAACAATACATATCATTAATTCTAGCAGATTAGTGAACATAAATAAATCTAACATCATTGCTAGTAATCTTTCTATGGGAGTAAGTAGCCATAATTAAGATTTTTTTTTTAATCCACCAGAGACATCTACAGAATTAGTTTCTTAATAGTGAAAGTTATATCTGAGACATTGTCTGTCTGTCTTTTCCCTTCTGTGTAATTCTTCCCCCTTTTTTGACTGTGCTGGGTCTTAATTGCTTCACGTGGGCTTTCTCTAGTTGAAGTGAGTGAAGGGATGCTCTTCGCTGCAGTTTGCAGGCTTCTCCTTGCGGTTGTTTTGTTGCTGAGCACGTCGAGGTGCCTGGGCTCCAGTCGCTGCAGCCTGTGGGCTCCGTGGTTGCAGCCTGTGGGCCTCAGTCGTGTGGCATGTAGGCTCAGGGCGCACGGGCTTCGGGATGTGTGGGCCTCAGTCGTGTGGTGTGTAGGCTCGGGGCGCACGGGCTTCGGGATGTGTGGGCCTCAGTCGTGTGGCGTGTAGGCTCGGGGCACGGGCTTCAGGATGTGTGGGCCTCAGTCGTGTGGCGTGTAGGCTCGGGGCACGGGCTTCGGGATTGGCAGCACACAAGCTCGGGCTCAGCGGCTGCGGCTCCCAGGCTGTGTTGCCCCGCCGCGCTGGGAACCTTCCCAGACCAGAAAACAAGCCTGTGTCCCCGGCAGTGGCAGGTGGATTCTTGTCACTGTGTCACCAGGGAAGCCCAATCCTTCCCTTTTTAAAGTGACACCATGAAATTGTTATTAATGATTTGTTCATATTTTCTACTCTCTCTTTAGATATTGTACAGTAGGCTGTACTTTGGGTAATCCCTCACATGGTAGTTGAATTGGAGAGGTTTTCATCTGGAAGGACCTTAAGAGTCCTGTAGTCTGGAGAAAAATGCCTGTTAGGCAGATTATTCTTTGGTAGGATTTGCCTTTTTTTTTAATAAGATTTATTGAAGTATAGACATATAGTAAACTGCACAGCTTAAATTATAACGATTTAATATTTTGACACACCTACAGCTGTGAAACTATGATTGTAGTCAGGATATCAACGTCTCCGTCATCCCCCAGATTCTGCTTCTGCGCCTTCGTGGCGTGTCTCCCCTCCTGTCCATCCTCAGGTGACCATGGAACTGCCAACATTTGGATTTGCAATAATTTCTTTGGTGTTATGTCCAAGAAATTATTGCACATCCAATGTCATGAATCTTTCCTCCTATATTTTCTTTTTAGAGTATTATCATTTAGGTGGTAAGTTTAGGTTTTTACCCATTCTGAATTAATTTTGTGTGTGGTTCAAGGTAAGGACCCGGTTTCATCCTTTTGCGGGTGGACATTCAGCTTTTCTAACACCATCTGTTGGTGAGGCTATCTTTCCCCTGTCGAATGATCTTGACACCCTTGTCAAAAATCATTTGACCATATATATGAGGGTTTATTTTTGGATAATCTGTTGTGTTCCATTGGTCATTATGTCTCTGTTTATGCCAGTATCACAGTTTTTTTTTTTTAATTATTGTAGCTTTGTAATAAGTTTTGAAGTTAGGAAGTATGAGATCTCCAACTCTGTTTGAGAGTAACTTCTGAAAGGCGTATACTCTTAAATTTTGATGAAGTCTAATTTATCCTTTTAAAAAATAGACTTTACTTTTTAATTCTCTAAGAAATCTTTGCCTCACCCATGATCACAGAGATTTTCTGCTATTTTTTCTTCCATAAATTTTATGTATGAAGTGTACATTTAAGTCTGTGATGCATTTAGACTTAATTTTTATATGTGGCACAATGTTTGGATTAGAATGCCTTTGTTTTTTGTTTTTTTTTTACAAATAGTTGCCAAGTTTTTCTGACATTACTTGTTGAAAAGACAATCCTTTCTTCACTAACTGCATCTTTGTCAGAATCATCTGACCATATACATATGGATCTATTTCTAGTCTGTGTTCTGTACTGGATATATTTGTCTGTTTATCTTAATGCCAATACCTCACTTTCTAGATTACTTTAGATTTGTAGTAAGTATGTAAATCTCCTCAGTTTGTAATTTTTTTCATAGTGGTTAGGTTACTCTAGTTGCTTTGGATTTCTGTAAGACTTTTGGAATCAACTTGTTAATTTTTAGCCAAAGGATGTGGTTGACGGAGAATTGCTGGGGTTTTAACTGGGATGGCTTTGAATCCTTAGACCACTTCGTGGAGAATTGTCATTTTGACTGTATTGAATCTTGTAATCCATAAACATTGTGTATCTTCCCATTTATTTAGGTCTTTTCTGTTTCTCTTAGCAGTGTTTTGCAGTTTTCAGCAATGTTTTAGTCTACATGTCTTTCCCATCTCTTGTCAGATTTATCAATAGGGATTTATTTTTTGATGCTGTGTAAATGAAACTTTTCAAATAACCTTTTTATTTTTGGAACAAATATAGAGATATACTGTAGAAAAATTGTGAGGATAATACAGTGACCTTCCTTCTGCCCCTTGACGTAGTGTATCCTGATGTTGACTGACATTTTACCTTTCCATGGTACATTTCTCAAAACTAAAATTTTAATTTCTGATGTTTGTTGCTGGTATATAGAAATACAGTTGATTTTTGTATAATCATCTTGTATACTGGTACTTATTAGTTCTAATGAGTCTTATGTAGATCCCTTAGGAGTTTTTACGTAGACAGTTACGCTGTATGTGAATAAAAAGTTTACTTCTTACAGTCTTTGTTTCCTTACAGTAGTTTTTCTAGCCAAGGTACCTGCTTGGTGCTTTAGGATTAGTTTCTGTCAGGCAGAAGTTTAATATAAAGTTTCCTATCAAAACCGGAAGGTGACCTCAGAATCAAAATACCATCCTGTCCACATAGGTGTTCTTATTAAATCACCTGTCTGGTACTGTGGCAACCTACTCTGCCTTCCCTTCTGATACTTTAAGTCTGTCTTGCTTCTGGGTCAGTGTATCACCCAGAACTTCCATTCAAAATAGTAGTGTTATTTCTTTTGTAAAAAAATTCTAGTCAGATTGTTGGGAAGAACCTACTGGAGTTAGGCCTGGTTTTTGCATGTATTACTTCGGTTATCTTCACCACAGCCCCTTGAGTTAGATAGTGTTACTTACTTATTCAGCATTTCCTTTTTTATATATCTGCTCTGTAGTGCAGTGTGGGAGGTTTTAGAGATACAGCGATGAGCCAGATATACCCAGAAAGGCAAGAGCAACACACCCACAATTGCTCATCAGGATAACCTTTTTGAAGGGAAGGTTTTAGGTACTATGTCTTAGTCTACGGGTATACAGAGGTCCCCTTGGAGAAGGAAAGAAGGAAGAGTAGGAGTTTTTAAGGGAAATAGAGGAAGAAGTGTGTTTCAGACAGGAGAAGCATTGAGGTGGTGATGAACGCTGGACTCCCAGAGAGCTGGAGTATATTATTGCTTTATAGATGAAGACACTGAACGACTTAGAG